TCGAGCTGTTTGCATGGCATAATATGGTATCATAGAGAGTACTAACTGCATGAGAGTTATACGCCTTGCAAGTAAGAGTGATCAGACTTTCCATCCCAATAACTTCTTTTATACCTTCTCCACAATGTAGTGATAAGTATCCTTCATGATTCTATTATGCAATAGTGGGACCCCTAGGTACTTACCCAAATTATCTATTTTTTAGTAACCCAGCTCCCCAAAAATAGAATGAGCTTCTTGCAGGTTGACATTTCTAGAGAAGTGGATTCTGGTCTTTGTAGCACTCACCCTATGGCCAGATGCAATGCAAAACTTATTCAAGAGTTTACTGACAAGACTAACTTGGGAGTTTTTGGTGGAACAAAATAAGATTAAGTCATCAGCAAAGAAGAGGTGCGATAAGGGTGGTCCATTTTTCCCTAATCGAATTGGTTGCTAATTCCCTTTGTTTACCTCCAGGTGAATGGCCTGAGACAACCTTTCCATGCATAGTACAAAAATGTAAGGTGAGAGAGGGTCACCTTGTCCAATGCCGTATTGTGGAGTAAATTAGTGAGTAGGCTTCCCATTCCACTAAACTTGCATGGAGGAGGAACTAATGCAATTCATAATTAGGTGAACTAATCCATTCAGGAGTTTAGCTTCTAGGAGGGTTTCCTGTATAAAATCCTATCGAGCTAGTCAAAAGCCTTTTCCAAGTCAATCTTGATAGCTATCTAGCCAATCTTTCCATTCTTTCTTCTCATGGAATGTATAACCTCTTGTGCCATAATTATATTGTCGGTGATGTTCCTTGCCTTTATGAAACTAGATTGGTAAGGGAGGGTTAGGTACGGCATCACACTCTTCATTCAATTGGCAATTATTTTGGTAATAATCTTGTAGATTGTGGTGCAGAGACTGATAGACCTAAACTCTTTTAAAGTTTGTGGGTGATTATTGTTCTATTGAACCTTCTGTCAATAGCCCCCCTTCAAAGATAGCTTTGATCTCTTTAAAGATCAACTCTCCCACTGTTTCCAATTGGGACTGAAAGAAAAAAGCATGCATCCAATCAGCCCTCGAAGATTTGAGTAGGTGCATGTCAAATAGAGCATGTTTAGTTTCTTTCTTAGTAACTGGGAGTTCAAGATAGGTAACCAACGAGTCTACAAGATTAGGGAACAAATTTGTGCATTCGTATCTTATATGGTGGCTTTGCTCTAAAGAGTACAGATTGCAAAAGTAGTCCCCAGCTAGACGCTTAAGTTAGTCTTGGTTTGCTTCCCATATGCCTTCGTCATTTTTAGGAGGACTTGGTTCTTCCTTTGTCGAATCACTACCCTCATATGGTAGCAGTGAGTGTTGCGATCCCCACTCTTAATCCACTCACTTCGAGATTTTTGAGCCCACATCACCTCTCCCCTTAAACAGATGCTCTCATATTCCATGAGCAGGGAGTACTCTAGCTCGAGAAGACTTGTTGAACAGGGGCTGGATTCTAGGGCTTTTTGCACCCCTACTAGTCGACTTCACAATCTTCTCTTTTCGCACCTTCCCAAAAACGTCAATGTTCCACTGTTAAGCTTGCTCAGTGAAGAATTCAATGTTCTCTACAAGCCCATAATTAGTATCCCATTTGTTTGCAACTAAGCTATTAAAATCCGGGTGCAAGGCCCAGGACGCAAGAAACTAAAAGGGACCTGGTTCTCCTTTGCTTCCACCACCTTGCTTGATGAGGATGGGCTATGCATGTTGATCTTTTATTTGTCTTTCTCTACATGCACCACTTGGAAGTTAAATATCACATAGGATACCTCTTGTCATGCCTCATATTCTTTTTGAGCCTATTTTCTGGTGGGCTTCTCCTTCTTCACCATTGTCATGTAAAAGTTCAGAATTGCCTCCTACTACTATTCTCTCCCTCCTTAGAAAGAGTTGTCCTCGACTCTTTAGCATCTTTAAGGGATATCCAAGACCTATTTCTCATATCAATTATTTGTTGTTACACCTACAAAAGTGAAACAACCTTACTAGAGAAAGGGTAATTAAAGCTCTCATCATTTTCACTCACAATCAAGTCATCCTTAATTATATTCTACTCAATCTCACTTTCTTCTTCTTTTTCACTTTTCCCTTTGAAAAATATCTACATTCTCAATTTCTCCTCTTTTCTCTTTTTCTTTCTTTTTTTTTTTGTCCTACTACGCTCAATTTTTCTTTAAACTTACATTCTCTAAAAATTCTGATTTCATCTTTATATGCTTCTTTAAGCTAAGAGGAGACAAGGCAACTTTTGTTGTTAAGAAGAAAGGAATAATAATTTTTGGAATAATCATCTCCAACTTCATCACAAGTGTGCCTTCGCACGACATCACAAAGTAATTCATTTTCATACTTTCCAATAGGTAAAAGAAAAATAAAGGAACTTGCTTAGTCTTTAATCCCCTAATTTCTAGTCATTCTATTAAGGCTAGGTTAGGAAAAAAGTGGATGTAAAATGGCTACCATTTCATTTGTTTTTGAAAAAATTAATCTTTTGACCTCTATAATTTGACCCAATTGTAACTCCATTTTTAAAATTTAACTTAGTGTAGCTCAGTCCTTTAAGTTTTAACTTGGTATAACTCGGTCCTTATAGTTTAACCATTTAAAACATTATTTCCTATATTTTTAAAAATAAAATTATATACTTTATGAAATCTAGGAACTAAAGTTTTAAAAGGTTAAAACTATAGGAACTTAATTATAATAAATTGAATTTTATAGACCAAGTTACAATCAAGTCAAAATTATAGGAACTAAGTTGTAATGAGTTAAAGTGTAAGACTATCTTGCATTTGAGTTACAAATGTAAGAACAAGATGGACATTTGTGTGTGTGTGTGTGTGTGTTTTTTTTTGGGAAGTAGAAAGGTATTTCGTTAATCAAAATATGTACAGACGAAGGCAGAAATGTAAGTACAAAAAAGGAAATTAACTGCAAGACAGCAACAAGAAACCTCCTAGCTTCTATAATGTCATTTGCAAAAGAGATGCTCTCATTGGTTAAGCGGGAGCTACGGGTCCGTTCCTCGTTGAAAATTAAGCTGTTGCGCGCACTCCATAACTTCCAATATAGCACTCCAAAAGTGACACACCACAAGGGATTGTTCTTCCTACCTCCCAAATTCTCCTTAAACCAATCCGCCAAACTCACAGCATGAAAGCGCGTCAGGTGCGTGTTAGGAAAAATTAAGCTCCAGCAATCCATAGCCAATCTGCAGAGTCCCAGGACATGGCCGACATCCTACCATCCAGATCCACAGATTCCACAGACGGACATTTGTATTTGCCATTGATGAAGAATTATGAGTAAAAATACTCTGAACGAGAAGGAAGCGACGCCATCGCTGACAGTGGATATAGTTTTCGATCAACTAACAAGGTTGGATAAGCCGAGGGGGAAAGGGCATGAGGACGCTACGGAGGAGGAAGGTGGTGATATGTAAATGGGAGAGAGTTTGGGAAGCATATCGTATTGTAGTAAGCTAATGAATTTGGAAAACTAGAGGCTTGGTGGCAATGAGAGGGCATGAAATTTTAATCAATGAGGGTGATTATTGGATTATAAAAAGGGGTGCCATCCTAACAATTGATTTCTCGAGTAGTGTTCAGGCACTATTGGTGAAAGAGTTGGAGAAGACACACATGGTTAAATTGTTAGGGAAAAGTACAAGACACAGGGACCTGCTATTGAAGATAATGATGACCTTGTGGCAGTCAAAAGGTTCCTACCAACGGGTGGATATGGGAGGAGAATTTTTTAAGAAAATTGTACTACGGTCTCAAAAAACAAAAAATATAGCAAAGAAGTCCCATATGAGTTACAAATTAATTAGAAGTCTGATGGGATTTGATCAGATATTCCTATTCTATAGGTCATTGGCCAAAGAGTCTTCTGATATGTTTTAAACCATTATGTTAGTATTCATCTTTTGACGATGAAAACTAAAAATAAGTATTGTATTACCAGATTAACTGTTAATAACCATTAATAAGAAAATACAGATCCTAAGCACATGACTCAAGCCTACAATTTAAGTCGTATACTTCATATAAATTATATGATGTGAGAGTCAAGTATTATGTGCTTATTTAACTAATGATAGCTTCCAATTCTTATAAATTGTTAAGTTGATACTCAACTCTTGGCTAAACAAATTTGAGTCATCAACTCAAGTCAAGCATTACTAAGGGCCAACTCACATGCCTCACATCGAGATCAAATTAGAAGTTACATACTTGACTATATTTCAGAAATTAAGTGCCTCAAATCATCTACTCCACTTCATGAAATTATAATGATCCATATCTTTCATGTGCTTAGTCTCTTGTTTAGAACAGAAATTCAAATCTTAACTAGAAGTTTGTTTTGACTTTTGTATTCCATTCTCAAGATTTTATCTAAGTGAAGTCAATTGAAAGCTAAGCCTCAAATACATGCTTCTCTATTCATATCATTCATTCAAGGCATAACATGAAGTCTTGTGTTTATCCTCATTACCCTATTTGCAAGCTCAAGTTGGTGCTTAAGTACTCACAAATCATACGATTACTTTGAGTTATGACTTAAGGTCATGTATTTACCTTTACTATATACTATTTGTCACACATCCTTACAGATTGTTCGCTTTGTTATTAAAACCATTTACAATACTGTTTACCGGGGGGGAAAAAACATTCAGAATACTATAGAGGTAGAAAAGAAAGAAACCAATATGGAAAGGCTACCATAATAGAAGAGGAATAAATTATTGTTTCAAAAAGGTTAGCCACGGTAAAAAAAAAAAAAAGAATAAAACCTGTAGATGACACGTTACCCTGCCTGTAAACACATTCCTCATAACAAACTGGTCATGCTTAAACACTAACATTAACAAATACAATGGGACTTAGGGCACAATTATCACACGAGGATGTATTACCCTACGCACAAGCCCACTAGAATCAACGTCCGATAAGCCATCACAACACAAGAGCTTTTGAATCAAAACATAATTGTATTAACAGAAAGCCAACAACGTCGCTCCAACCACATGAAAGAATTCCAATGACGTCCATCCAAGTAACAGAACTGTCCCAGTTGCAGTATAATTCAAAAGGAGAAATAATTCAAGTTCCAAATACAATAATCATATCAAAATACCCAACGGTCTGAAAATAGACATATACACCTCATTAAAAAAAAAAAAATCCTACTAGTTACAACGAGGCATACAAGTCAAGTCCGATGCCTAAACTTAGAGCAAGAGAAGAACCAAACTGAGGTGATGGAGAGTTTGCTCAAAATATAGATGTTGATGATCTAAAAATAGGAGGTGGTGCTGCTGACGTCGAAGTACCAAAGGCTGATTAACTGAAGGCAGGAGTAGATGAAGTCCCAAAGCCAGTGGTAAAAGCTGAAGTCATTATTGCCAATGGATTAGAAGGGGTTAAAGTAGAGAAAGCATTAGCAGCCCATTGACCAAAAGCTGGAGAAGGAGCAAATGTGTTTATCTGGGGGGTGGTTGAATTAAAGCCAACCAAGCCAGTGGACTGAGCAAAACTTAGTGGCCCACCTAAATTTGTATAGAATATCATAAAATAATCAAGTTCATTAGTGCAATGAAAAGCAGCAAAATTAAAACTTATAAACAATTAATTAACAATGACAATCACCTTTATCTCCAATTTGATAGTCCTCCCATTTTAGCTCCTCATGGCTTTTATCTTTGTAGATAGGCATGGCTGATATGGACTCCAATTTAGCAGATCGTCCAGAGGTATCAACATCTACTTCAGCTGTTGGTGTATAACTAACAACTCTACTCCCACCCTTCTGACGCCCGAAACAAGAATGCCCAACACCAGTACCTCCAGAAGCTAATGAAGTGGTTTGAGATCCTGAAAGAGTAAATATGCAAAAGGTGACTTTCCATTGTAGCACAAGACATAAAAAAGGCATCAAGATTTCAACACATAAGATACAAAAAAATATGAAAAAAACAATAAAAGCCTTTTGTAACTTAAAAATATATATCATGTCAGAATTCAATTATGCATAAATCTAAATTCTTAACTCACCAAATAGAGATCTCTGTCCTCGAAAAGTTGAAAAGAGGTCGAAAAATACCAATATGCATCTCATACACAAAAATCCTATTAGTGACAACGAGGCATACAAGGTAAGTCCAATGCATATACCCAGAACAATAGAAGAACTAAAGAGAGGTGATGGAGAGTTAGCACCAAATGTAGATGTCGAAGTACTTCCAAAAGCTGATGAAGTCATCTGAGATCCTGAATGAGAAAATATGCAAAGGTGACTTGTAATTGTAACACAAGACATAAAGAAGGCATCAGAGTTTCAAGACATGAGATGCAAAAGGTATTTGAAAAAAAAAAAAAAGCCGCTTGTAAATTAAATGCACAAACACACACACACCATCTATGTCAGTATTCAATTATTCATGATTTCAGATTCTAAACTCACAAAATGGAGAACTCTGTCTTCCAAAAGATGAATTAAAGCAGACCAAGCTAATAGATTGAGCAGAACAGAGTAGCCCATCTCAATTTGTATTGAGTATTATAGAAATATCAAGTTCATTATGCCATAAAAACCACCAAAACTTAAAAAAAAAAAAGAATACACACTATTAATTGATGAATAATAATGGCAATCACCTTTATCTCCAATTTGATACTCCTCCCATCTTAGCTCCTCATGGCTTTTATCTTTGTAAATAGGCATAGCTGATATGGACTCCAATTTAGAGGTACCACCATCTTCTTCAGTCATTGGTGCATAATAAATGACTCTACTCCCACCCCGATGACCCCCCGAACCAGAGTTCTCAATACCAGTGCTTCCAAAAGCTGATGAAGTTGTCTGAGATCCTGAATGAGAAAAAATGCATAGGTGACTTTCAATTGTAGCACAAGACATAAAATTGGCATAAAAAATTCAACACATAAGATACGAAAAGATATAAAAAAATTAAAAGTCCCTTTTTGACTTAAAATATATATAAATGTCAAAATTAAATTATTCATAATTCCAAATTCTAAACTCACCAAATGGATAACTTTGTCCTGCAACAGATGAAAAAGTGCTCCCAAATGGACTGCTACCAAATGCTGAAGTAGACTTACCAATAGTGGATCCAAAACTAAAGGAAGGAGTACTAGAAGCACCAAATGCAGGAGTGGATGAAGTCCCAAATACTGGAATAGCTGAACAATGAAATAAAGGGGTACTTGACGCATCAAATCCTTCACCAGCTCCAAATGCAGGAGAGCTTACACCAACCGCATTCCATGTGTGGCCAAAAGTTGGACTTGAGGTTGAACCAAATGCAGGGGCGCTAGTTGCCCCAAATGTTGGGGCGCTTGTAGAACCAAAGGCAGCAGTGCTTGCAGAACCAAAGACGGGGGTGCTCGTAGAGCCAAGTGTTGGCTGAGATGACGCACCAAAATGTGTCGAAGAATCGAATATGCTGCTCCCAAATGCCGTTTGTGATGGTTGTCCAGCACCTCCAAAAGGACTCATTCGAGCATAAGCTGCAAACTCTCCAAAAGCAGGTTTTTGGCCAAAGGTAGACAACCCTAAAGAGCAGGAGAATTTCATCAGCATTAATTGTAAGACGTTGAGATTATACTGACAAGCCTGAATTTTTCTAACAAGACCTCATAAAACAATATAAAAGTCAGATGGTTCAAAGTAAAGCTTAGCAGATTCTAGAACATTAGTCAAAATTAAAATATCAAAGGAGGTGGGAAAACAGGACAAAGGGTACTGATGGCTGTCCGTATAAGAAGTAAAGTCAAGGAAGCCATAACAAAAAAAGGAATGGTAAAAAATTTGATGTAGTCCCTAGATGCTGTAATCCAATTCTCTAAAGAGCACAAGAAATAGCATGCACATATGAAAATCATCACCAATATTTTTTATTAACTCTTGCTTCCAACGACATCAAGCACCGGCATCAAGGAAACTTAAACCAGATGAAACAAGTCTAGAGAAAATGCCACATTATTTGTTCTTCCTAGTGATATAGACAACATAATCGAACTCAAAGAGGCCCTCAACATAGTCATGCATTTTCAAGCATATACATGTAAGCGTATGCACTCTGTCTTTATCTTATTTTAAACAAGACAGAATGCAATCAGTCAAATATAGTGTTCTACACCATTAGACATATCCGCCGTACACTTGTTTTCCAAGGATTCAAATAAGTGAATCTGATTAACACTAAAGATACACTTCTAATAACAAAGTATAACAAACAAGTCATGTGCACTTGCCTACCTGCAAACGATGAAGATGAATTGCCAAAAGCTGAAGTTGAAGATGACCCAAAAGCAGGCACTGAACTGCCAAAGGCTGGCAAAGAAGAACCACCAAAGGTGGTCGTTGAAGAGAGGGAAGATGCACCAACTACGCCAGTCAAAGCACCTCCAAACAAAGAACTAGTTTTTGAGCCAAGTGGTGTTGTACTACCAAATGGCTTTGGGACAAAAGGGCCGCTACTCGATGCATTGGTCTGCCCAAAAACTGATTGGAAGCCAAGTGGACTTGAAGATGATTGCCCAATAGCTGTTAAATGATGTCACCTTATTAATGGGATGCAGAAGCAGACGGCAAGAAAAGAAGCAAGATGCTCTATGTGGAATCACAATATAAAAAAAGCTATCACATCCAACAAGTGATCAGTTCAAGAAATAATATTCCACGTATCACATAATAAAATAAAATGCAATAATATGATCAATTATGAGACCAAATAGAACTGGCTCAATTTTGATGATCAAAAGCATCAACAGATTTTGTTTGCGTGATAGCCATAAGGTCAGAAGAAACAAATCAAAACCTAAATACTTCAAGAAATAAGACCACAGAATGCTGAAAAATCAGGTTGAACATAAAGGCAATAACAATGATGAATTTCAGTGCTGAGGGCAGCAAGAGTAGAACCACCACAAAAATAGTGTATCACCTAATGTTGACGTAGACAAGAAATAAAAATACAGAATTGAGTGACATCTTAGAATAAATTTTCAGACGATAATTCTATGTTTAGTCCATTTGCATGCCCTATAGCAGTTTGTTAGCTTGAGTGCTATAGCCAAGTAAGGCATTAGGGGGCAAGGCTTACGGTTTGTTGAACCAAACATGCTTGTAATTTTCCAAACGCAGCAGAAGCTTTATGTTCCCAAACTGAAAACACAGCAAACAAACTTCATTAAGATTAAGATTTCGATTAGTTATATACGAGATTTCCAACAAGACATTCTGCAACATATGCCACAATGATCGCAGTGAGAGAAAGAAAAAGATATATAAATGGCATCATGAGGAATTTCGCCAGCACAGGCATGGAAAAAGCTTCAATGAGTAACCGTACAGGGGCAAAAATGAATTAGAAAATAATATTTTAATGGCAGACAAATACAATTAATATCTACATTTTGCAAGAATAGAATAATTCAAATCATCTTACTACAAGCAATGTGCCTTTGAGCGTTAGGCAACTTATTCACAGTGACGATGGTTGCAACTTGAAAGTGGTGACAATGAAGAAATAACTTCAGCCAAGCAAAGAGAGAAACAACAGTAAATTTCAGTCAGAAGATCCGAATATGGTGTGGTGGAGATACGCTACAACTCTGACATGAAAAATATTTAAACAAATCAAGAGAAAGACTTACGGCGTGCGAACAAGATAGATCCTTGCGTCGAATAAGGTCAATTAGGGCAATGGTTGCAGAGAAGGAAATCGAAAAAACACTTCCGAGAAGAGGCACACAGAAGAGCAGAAGGCCAACGGGGAGTGACATCAAAGCGGGAATGGGTTGCTTTTGTAAGAAGAAAAGCCGCGTAGCGTTAAAAATCCGTCCCTTTTTTTTTTTTGTAGATTTTTTTGCCATTGCGTTAAAATTCCGTCCTGAGGGTGGGGACTAAGGGGCTGTTTGGAAAACCCAAAACCATGGTTTCAGAAGTACTTTTCCGCAAAATGAGATAATCTCCTCCATACATTTACTTCGTAATCTGTAAAAGCACTTCTGAAACCATGGTTTGGTTTCTATCCAAACACCCCCTAAGAAGCAGGAAATAAATCAATAATGGAAAAGGCTGGGGAGTCATTCGTGTGTATATAAAATAATATGATTCATCTTTTTAACATTAAAAAGTTAGTAATAATTAAATAATACGTTGGCAAAAAAAATTAAATAAGACAAAGTAATTTTTATAAATAATTAAGAATATAGACTATTAATTATTATAGTTAGTAATAAAATTATGGATATTGTGATATAAAAAATTAATTAAACCAAAATGTCTATTACATGCAAAGAAAGAATAGTTACACCTTATTATTATTTTCGTTAAATCATTTACCTATATTTTACTTTAGAGGATAAATTATACATTTGGTTCTTTTAAGTTTATATCAAGCTTCATTTTTTGTTTTAATTTTATAAAGTATATTTTTAGTCCTATAATGTATACTTTTAGTCTTCTAATTTTATCATTGTTTATTGAAAAATATTAACTCAATAAATTTATATAGTGGCTATGTAATTAAATGCTTCACAAAGCTGAGAAATTTTTGCAAATTTCGTTCATTTAATTTAAATTATTTTAGTTTTGGAAATTTAAATTAAAATAATATCTAAAATATAATATGAATAAATTATTTTAATTTATTTTTTCATTATATGCTCGCCTTCTTCATCGAACCACTTTTCTCTATAATCCATACCTCCCAAGCTAGCAACCAATCATTTCATATGATCATCATTCATATTTTCCGATATTGAAAATTTGGATCTGAAAAAAAAGGGGGGATCTAGAAAAATTATGAATAACATATTTTACAATATTGAAAGGGTTTGTTCACAGTCCGTCCTTAATCTTCATACGTACGAGTCAGTTAGAACCTTCACTACTCCTCTCTATTTTTTATTTTTTTATTTTATTGTAGTACTGCTCCGATCCTTTCTCCAGTGGCCAGACGAGTATACGGGTCATATACTCGTATGGTCACTCATGTACTCGTCTGATCACTACAGGGCCTCATGCTTGTCTTTTATGATCCAACAGATGAGCATGAGAGCCTATATTTTTTTGTTTAGTGTAACCAAACGAATATATTATCTTCTTTTATTTTATTTTAAATGAAAATAAGAGATGAAAATGAATTTTTTTGTAGTAGTGCTAGTTATTGAGTTAATTTTAGTCCTATATAAGAATTATTTATCAAATTTATTAATTTTTTAAATTATTTCTATTGATACTTCCTCAACTATAATCAAGTAGGAGGGGGAGGGATGATATTAAGAAAGATGATTATGGTACTTTAGAAAAAAAATGTTACATTTCTTATAATTAACTAATATATCTAACTTTCTTAATCTAATCAAATTAGTTAAATAGATTTTATATTAAGGATCAAAGGAGTATTAAATTATTCACATCAAAATTTAGCCAGTTAAATTTAATTAATTACTCATCCAGTTTTTAATATAAGACATAATTTTTGAGTTAATTTTAGTCATAAATAGAATATCTATTTCTTATATGTATCAATTTTTTTCTAAATTATATTTATAAATATTCTTTGAATCATAATCAAGTAGGAGTAAGAAAAAAAAATTAAGGGAGATGATTGGTGTTTTGGGAAAAACATGACCTATTTTTTTATAATTAACTAACTTACCTTACTTTCTTAATTTCATCAAATTAGTTAAATAGGTCTTATATTATGAATTAAAAAAGTATTTTTTTATTTATAATTTAACATTTTGATAATAATTTTGTAAAAGATTAAATCTGAACCATTCAAATATTATTCTTATGGTTATAAAAAGAGATGAGGAGGGAAGAGAATGGGAGGGAATAATAAGAGATGTTGGTGCATATGATATGACCCGCCTCTAATTTACCATTTGCTAATCACATATTTATCATTCACATGATGTCCTTCCATAATTGCCATACCCACAAATTCCAGATATGATCAATTAATATTGTAGATAATAATGATCATATCCAATTTTTCAATTTTTCATGTACCATGAAAAAGGGCGTTGGTGAAACAATCCATGGAGTGGCGGAGCTTGGGAAGGAAATCTAGGGAAAAAAAAGTTTTGATGAGGAGCAAAGAAAGTTGATTAAAATATTCTGTTTGTATTAGATTTTAATTTACAAAACAAAAATAATTTAAATTAAGTGAATGACCGTTGCAAGAATTTTTCTCTGTCAGGTCATTATTTACATTTGTTGAGTCAACATTTTTTTCACATGAAACTAATAATAATATTATGATTAAGTGATTAAAAATACACTTTATAAAATTAAGAAAATAAACTGAAATTTAATGTAAACTTAGAGGAACAAACTTATACTTTAACCTACTTTAAATAATTAAATATGGTATAATTAATTTAAGAAAACTTTGTATTATAATTAATAAAATGTAAAGAAAAATAAATATAAATTATATTTATTAATTTATTCTAGACTATATTAAATCCCCATGTAACACTCACATTCTTTTTTTTTTTTTTTGGGTCGCCATGTAACACACATTCTCACATTATTGTTTAGATAACTAAACTTATTTAAAAAGTCTGCCATAATAGAAAATACATAAACTACAATTTTGAAAAACTTAACCACATAATATTTTTTGTATACACAAAAGTTAATCATAATATAAAAGAGTCTAACTAATCATTAAAAACTCCACCGTATTAAAAGAAGCAAACTGCATCTAATCTCACACTTGAAGCCACATAATTAAAATGTATTATAAATAAATTAAACATTTGTGTACTTCTTCGAAAGTCATCATTTCTAATATTTTCCCCTTCTATAAATACCAAGATGGTCTAGATATATCATTTCAAAAAGGAATAATAACGAGAAAAAGGGTTCCAATATGGGTATAAGAAAAACAATTGTCAGGGAAAGAAAGCAATTTTCTATCCTAGTTTTGCTTCTCTTTTTCATTGCCAGTCCAATAATTTTTCATTGCAAGTAGGATTTTTTCTGGGTTGAAAGGGCCACTTTCGTGATCCATAATGTGGCTTTTCCATCTCATCCCATCAGTAATAGCTTTGATCTTCACAAGAATCTCTACAGTATCCCTAAATATAACTGTACCTTCTGGCCTCAAAATTCTGTCCATTTCCAATAGCAACAAAGTAATATCGCACCTTCATCACCACACAAAATTGTAAAGTCAGAACTTTGATATATTCTCGTCAGTGGAAAAGAAACAAGAAGAAGAAGAAAAGCCTTGGTGAGAAATAAATCCTGATAAGGGATAGAATCAGTAGATGTGGGGTAATAAGGCACTATAATGCCTCATTCCCTAATGCTCCTTATAATGTCGTAACCTCCCTAAGCTTTTCTGTTTTATCTATAGATCATTAGATTCTATATATAATTAGCGACATGTTGACATCTTACAGGCACGAAATGGTGTGATTTTAAATTTTCTTATGATTTTTCAAAACCACACCATTTTATGCCTGTAAAATATCAAAATGTTGTTAGTTTTATGTAGAATCTAATGATCTCGTCCATGGAAAAAGAAATCGTAGGAATGTTGGAACATTAGAAAATGGGGCATTAGAGGCCCTTTAATATCTTACAGGCATAAAATGGTAAAAAGTTTGAATTTTTTTTGCAATTTTTCAAAAAAAAAGAAAGATCAAAACTAACCAAATTTAGGGTATTTTTCTTCAAAAAAATCATAAAAATTTTAAAACTATACCATTTTATATCTATAAGATATCAAAATATTGCTAGTTTTATGTAGAATCTAATGATCTATAAAAAAGAAAAATCTTTGGAAGGTCGGAACATTAGAGAATAGGCGGGCATTAGAGGCCCGTTGCCCGATATTGTTTCATGTGATTACCTGTCTTGATATATGCTAAATACACCATTGGCATGGATGAGATCATAGGTTCTTGGATAGGTTGAGAAAGCTTCACACCAATCATGGTATGTCCCAATGAAACCTCGCTCATAGATTGCTCCTAAAGTGTCTGGGTTTGAATTGGAAGGCACAATGTTCATAACCCAAACTGGATATTTGGACAAGGCAGCCGCAAAGCCTCCAAGATAAGCATTCATGTCCATAATGTTTCTGTATTTTCCTTGGGAAAGTGGAATGATTCGCTTGTAATGTGTTATCCTGTTCTTCCATTCATCATTATCCTCTTGAAATTTCTCAGCATTAATCCCTGGAAGGGAATCAGAAGCAATTCGAGGAGGGAGGGAAAATGCACGCTGAGGCCATTTCTCTAATGCCCCACCAGCCACTTCGTCAGAGTTGCTAACCTCAGGCAATGGCGTAATGCAGCTTTCTAGATCTCTATACCTATTCAAAGCAGTTTTCTGGGTCCTCAATATAAAATATCAATCTATTTTGTCTTCTAAATTTGTAATTTATTCTTTAAAACATTCATGCTGATTACACTTGTAAAGTAGTTTCTATCCAAAAATAGTCAGAATTAAAAATAAAACTTTAAGAAAATCAACTCATATTAAGGATCAGAGGTAGTGTATGCATAGATTTGGAGTGTTAGTTACCCGCTATGCTATCCCCTAATTTTTTATATCTTATGGGCAAAAACTGGGGCAATTTTCAAATTTTTATGATTTTTCAAAGAAAAATACCCCATAATTTCTTAATTTAAACACAAATTCTTTGAAAAATCATTAAAAAAATTCAAAACTGTGTCACTTTTTGCCTATAAGATCCAAATTTTGATCATTTTATGAAGAATTCAATGATAAAAAGAAACAAGAAAAAAATTGGAAAGTGGAGAAAAATTAAAGGGGCAACAGATGAGGGCAGATAAGACGTGTATATATATATATGCGTGTGTGTGTACAGACACTATTTTGCAGTAAAAATGAGTGAGTATTATACCAAGCCATGTCGGGATTGTCTAACTTGCAAATGTGTGGAGTTTTATAAACCTTTCGATTTTGCACACATTCCATATGGTTGATAGGTTTTTGCCAAATAGCTAAGTCATCTTTCTCAATGACTTTCTTCCAACAGATATGTTTGGCTGTGTTCTCAATAGCGTCTTGCTCCTGCTTTAGATCTTCTTGAGTTCTTTCCCATCCTCTCCAATATTTCTTCCATCGAATAGGCGGGCCAGACAGAATCCAATAACCACCTGGCCTCAGAACTCTATCCACTTCCATTAAATACAAACCCTCTGCATATAATATAATCAATGATTTAATGTCCATGATAACAATTGGACAGTAAAAACAAGGCTTAAGGCTCAATTTTACCTCGAATGTTATTGCAAAAGAGCTATAACTATTCAGAAGTTTTAATATTATCCGAAAATGTTAAAAAAAGGAGCAAAATCGACTTAGCCGTTAAAAAACTAATGTTAACGTTTAACAATTTTAACATGCAAGAGCAACATTGGTTTTTTTTTTTTTTTTTGACATTTTTGGGAGGATATTGATTCAAACAAAACTTCCAAATACTCACAGCTCCTACAAAAAAAACTTTTGAGGCAAAATTAGACCTTAATGCTAAAAGCAATTATGATCATACAATGATATCTCGGAGGCATTTTATACCATTTTTGCTCCAAGGTATGAGGCAACGAGAACAGTGGGCCATATCAAACGCCCTGGCTGGGTAAGGAAGCCTTTGGGAACCCATAATGCCAATCATGGCGGGAACACCTCTTTCTAAAGCAAATTGGACTTGAGCTTCATGTGTATCTCTTGGCGCGAAAGACATTGCAATGATGTCCCTTTTCAACAAATATGCACCCCAACTTGCTACCTTTAAAACCATATAGACTACAAACCATTAACTCCATATCTGTTATAACTTGGCAAACAACAAGCAAAATTACTTAAACTTAGCTTGGAAATCATTTAAACTAAAAGTAACGGGAGCTTCTAACATGAGATTTTCTAAACCTTCAACATAGATTTAGCTCTAAACCCCATTTAAGCATCAGATTATAGAGACACACACAGACGAAGGATACTAAAAGAAAATTAAAGAGTTAAGGGACCAATTTGTTCTGAAAATTTTTGCTTAGGATCAATGTTGTTTGGGAAGTTCTTTTTGTTTCAATGTCGTCTTGGAAGTTTCAAGTGTAGTAATGTTGCTCCATTCTGTTAAAAAACTAACATTGATCATTAATGGTTGTAACAGCAAAGGGCAACATTGCTCTATTTTAATACTTTCAGGGCAACCTTTAACCCAAAAACACTTTCGGGAAACATTGCTCATGAGTAAAAACTTCTGGGACAAATTCACATCTTAATCCAAAATTAAACCTTGCTTGATTTATGCATTAACTTACACCACAGCCGGTGTCAATTGCAGTTCTGATATTACCACTGGTAAGAGGAATGAGTTCATTGATGTCATCAATATATGCGTCAGCTCCATTAGGAAACATCGTACCTCCTCCAGGAAATCTGAATCTGTCACCTTCAACTCGAATCCAATTCTGAATAGCCTTTTCTATGCTCAGTTCCTTATGTGGAATATTATCATACCAAGCATAATCTCGACTCTGAGGCCACTTAAAAGGTGTCTTATAATTTGGTGGGGCAGGTATAAGACAAAAAAGCTGTTCTTCTTTCGTTGGACAGTGTCTTTCCCTATATTTCAGCATGTTTCTGTCAAATCTCCTTCCTCTGTCTCGATCTTGGCAAGGAGTATATTCACTGAGTGATAAGTCACATGGTGAAAAATTCTGGAGCCCACTTGAATTGTTAATCTCAATTTGATGATGAGCTTCAAAGTCCAAAACAGTGGAAGATGGAATAATAGCAGAAGAAGAACTTCCTGCTGTGTTTAATGTAGGTGACCCTCCAACATCACAATCCACTTTTGAGTAAGCCTGGGATCGGTCAGGAGGGGCAACGGTATTTTGTCTTGCGCCAATTATATAAGACAAAATGCACAATCCACTGACCCCTAAGATACAAGTGAGGCGCTTTCTCTTGGTTTCCAGTTGATTATAATGCTTTGGTGATCCGTTGTAATCCTTTGCCATTTTTCTTTTATTTCTGAGATCTAAAAGAAGTTTTGGTTAAAAAGAGCATATTCCACATTAGTTTGCATCCATAAAATTGCAATATACTACACATAATAAGACCAAACTAGTAAGAATAATGTCTTTTCTCACGTAAAGAAAAGTCTTTTTCTTTTTCTTTTTTAAAAGAGAAAATGAGTGCAAACTCTTAAAAGCAACTTATTATTTGCCACATCATTTTTATCTTAACATATTTCACAAGGGTTAATTTGGGAAAAAAAAACATATGAAATAAGTCTTATATATAGAATCAATACCAACTCTCTAATTAACTCTTATATTAAGGACCTGAAATTCTTTTGAACCAATCCATAGAATTTATATAACGGAAGCAAGAAATTAAAAGGGGGAAATGTTCCACAAATAAGAAGAAAAATTCAAGGAGAGAAAGCAGATAGATACCTTAAACCTCAGGCTGATCAAACGCTTAAAATGATATCCTCCTCTTTCAATGCAATCTTATTGTTCATAAGTAAACCAAGAATATATATAATTCTTGAGACAAATCGATTGAAGATGGTTTTAAACCTAATTCAAATGTTAATGGGTGATAATTTATCTCAATAGACGGGAAATTTATCGCCTTAATCACACAGATGTGAACAAGCACGACGATTTGATTGAACACTGTACTTGTGAAAAAGTGAAATGGTAAAACTCGAATCCTTTGGTAGCCCTTAAAGTTATATTTACCGAGCAAAAATACATGACAATAATATAATTTTTTTATTAAGTATGAAAATATAGGTTAAATAATGGCAACGAGGAAAGAGTGGTGAGGTTTTTTCACTCAGCCAATGAGAAAAAATGGTGTGGTTGCTGGTGTTAGTATTTGTTGCTTTAATTTTGGATCCCTCCCTACTTTTAGTTTATCCAGAAAATAAGGAAGCTTTGTGGGATTTAGATTTGGTCAACATGATGATTTATGATAATGATTTAGGATGTTATTTAGATGATTTAATAGCCTCAAGTTATTCTTCTTCCATCATAAATTGCTCTGCTAATGGTTATGGAACTGGTTTGGATGAATGAGCACCAAGAACTCACCCCGTGATTTTAAACGATCCAGATTTAATATTTTTAATTAATTATTTTTGAATAAAAATTATTATTTTAAAAATGATAGTTAATAAATTATCGTCATTTTATATTTTATACCCATCAAAATAATTATTTTAAAAAATAAAAATATAAAATACCAAATCTGGACGGTTCCAGATGGTTACACACCTCATCAATTCAGATTCTTCTTAGCTTTTTTCTTTTTTCTTTGGCTTTTTTTCTAAATTATTTCCGATTCACAAGATATATATACTTTCTTGAATCGTTGTTTAATATTCTTTCACTCAACTAATTATCAATTTAATTTTTTAATTGTTTGACATACTCATAATAATTTTTATAAAGCCTGAAGAAACTTTTGGAGAAGAAAATTAGATCAATTTCTCTATATCTATTATATCAAGTTCTCTAATCACACTTCACTACAAAAAAAAAAACGGGTATTAATGATGGAATTTAGCAACAAAATTTTATTCTGTAGCTAATATGTAACAAATTTTGTCACTCAAATTAGTGATGGAATTTAGTGACAAAATTTTTTGTCACTAAATTAGCAAGGATTAGTGATGGAATAGCGACAGATTAATGACAAAAATTTATTTTATCACTAAATTCCATCACTGATTTTGTTGTAAAAGGATTGGTGATGAAAATTAGTAATGAAAAAATTTCATCAATAATTTTTATTGCTATTCTATCACTAATCCGTCACAAAAAATTACAATATAAATATATAATAATTATTTTTAATACTTATTATTAACATAAAAGTATAATATATGATAATTTTTTTATAATATATTATATAGATTAAAATACAAATGTTATAAATAAAATAAAAAATAAAAAATATAATATGCTTATTATTTTATTTAATATTTGAATAAAAATATTCATAATTAATTATTTTTAATAAAATAAAAAATTAAATTGAAATAAATAATAATGTATTAAATTATATAGGTAATATTTATTATACATATTTGCATTTTTAATTAGAAATATTATTTATTTATTTATTTATTTTTGCATAAAAATTTGTAGGTGTTTCTCAGCACAATTAGCAAAGATTTTAGCATGTGCGCATCCTGGCTTCGAACCACCACTCCTTCACAAAAATTGGCTCAATTTGTAACGTGGTGATGACATGATAGCTCAGAATAATAGACATGTAGTGATGACATAGACAAAAGGATGATGTGACACTATGGGGGGAGAAGATGATGACATGGACGAGGGGATGATATGACCACATGGGGGAGAGAGAACGAGTGGTGAGGTAAAGGGTGGTGATAGAGCCGGTAATATGGGTTGAGCCCGCGGGCTCAACCCACCAACCCGCCAACAAGTGGCGGGTTGGGTTGATAAAAATTAGGACCGTTTTAAAATAGAAGTTTTGAGCCCATAACCGTCAAGCCCAAACCCGCGGCGGGCTAACCCGCAGGGTTGGCGGGCCAACCCGTTTAACCATTTTTTTTTTGGCAAATTTTTCCCTTTGCCTCTCAGTCTCTACACTCTTGGCCTAGTCCACAGTGCAACAGTGAGCAATCCATGTCCAATAGTCTAACACGACAACACCAACACGGTCCCATTTTCACATTTTGCTTGCGTGTCGCACTCCTTCCAGACTCCCAACTCTCCTAGACCTAGTCTCCCAGTCGCCCTCGGCCAGTCCCAACTCCCAAGTCCCAAGTCCAAAGCCCCAAGCTCTCTGCTCTCTGTCTTTGCTTTGCGCCTTTGCCCTAGCTCATGAGTGATGATTGAGCACTTGATAGTTGATACTTGATAGTGATTTGTGTAGTGACATTGTGTTTGTGACTTTATGGTAGTGTTAATTTGGATTTATGTTTTAATTTGAGATGTTTGTTAAATTATTAAGGACATATCATGTTCATTTAATCATATGTTTAATATTTTGATATATTTGAAACTTAAAACTTGGAACTTTGGATGGGTTCCATGTTTTATTTATGATAATTTCTATTTGTATGTTTTATTTTAGGTATTTAGGAATTTGAGACTTTGAGTAGGTTTTATTTAAAAAAAAGTAAAAAATAAAAAATAAAATTTGGCGGGTTGGCGGGCCTAACCCGCCAACCCACCCTTGCGGGCCGGGTTGACAAAATCCCAGCCCGTTAGAAAGCGGTCTTAAAAAGCCCAGCCCGCCAAGCTTCAGGCCCGCCACGGGCCAACCCATAATCGGCGGGTTGGCCCATATTACCGGCTCTAGGTGGTGATGCCATGTCAGTTGCCATGTGATATTTTAAATTTACATAATAAAAAAAATTTAGCGACAAAATTTTTCGTTATTAATTTGCGACAGAATTTCCATTACAAATCTATCACTATTTTGTGATAGAATTTTTGTGAGATATCCGTCTCTAATTAGCGACGAATTAGTAACAAAAATTTTTCGTTACTAATTTTTGTTAGTAATCCGTTGTTAATTAGTAACGAAATTTTAAATTCTATCACTAAATAATTAGTAACTATAGAATTAGCGATGAAAAAAATTTCATCACTGATTCTGTCACTTACTAAATTCTGTCATTAATCTGTTGCTAATTTTGATTAGCGACGAAAATTCTGTCATTAAATTCTATCACTAATTTGCTGTTTTTTGCCGTGCTTGATTTCAATTGTTAATATCATGACACGTTGTTATTAATTATTGGTTTAAGATGCCCTTCAGTGGCTCAAAGAATTTGGTGCTCTGTGGTCGAAGTCAAACATGAAATTTCACATTCAAGCTATTGCATTTTTGCAATTTAGCTCTCACAACTTGTTATTTGGCAAGTAAAACTTGTCATTGACAACTAAATTATATAAAGAATACCAATTTCTGTTAAAACTTAAATTATTATAAATAATTTTTCAATACTTGTTATTTTCCCTACTAGACTTATAATTAGCAACTAAATCATGAAAAAAATGTTAATTTCTGTTAAAACTTAAGTTATTATTAATAGCTTTTTAACGCTTGTTATATTTCATATTAGACTTATTATTGACAACTAAATTGTGAAAATAATGTCAATTTTTGCTAAAACTTAAGTTATTATGAATAACTTTTTATCACTTATTATTTCTTATACTAAACTTATTATTAGTAAGTAAATTATAAAAATAATGCCAACTCCTGCTAAAACTTAAGTTAATATTAATAGCTCATTTCAAAATATTATTTTGATGGCCAACGAGATGTGTTAAGTGCATAACAAATGGATTGCAAGGGAGAATTATATTAAAAGAAATTAATGAGAACCTGAAAAGATCTTATTTTTATGAAACAAAGTGAAAAGGAAGAAGAAGAAAAGGATAGGATTGTTCCGTAAGAGAAGGCCTATTCTTGTTTTATAAACTATAGTCAATCATTAGCAAGAGTGTTAAATTCGTTTATTTTGGCAATTTAATTGTCAATGACAAGTCTAGTATAAAAAATAATAAGTGTCGAAAAGTTATTCACAATAACTTAAGTTTTAGTAGAAATTGACTTATTTTCATAATTTAGTTGCCAATGACAAGTGTAGTATGAGAAATAACAAGTGTTGAATAGCTATTCATAATAACTTAAGTTTTAATAGAAACTACCATTATTTTCATAATTTAGTTGCTAATGACAAGTCTAGTGTAGAAATAATAAATGTTGAAAAACTATTTACATTAACTTACATTTTAACATAAATTGGCATTATTTTTACAATTTAGTCGTCAATAACAAGTCTAATATAAAAAATAACAAGTGTTAAAAAGCTATTTAGATTACCTTAAGCTTGATAAAATTCAAACCATCGAATTATATTTAAACCATGTCAAAAATCAAAATAAAAAATGTACAACTCATACTTTCTGGCCCATTAAGTTATTCTCTTCGTGTTGCCCTTAAGCCGGGTCTCAAT